GGTGAACTAACCCTTTAATATTAGTATTAATAGACTAAGACTAACTAAATATTTTATTTGTTTACCTGCATGTCATGTGTGACCATTAACTGATATCAGAGAGCTGAGAACATGAATATGGTTTTAAATGATTGAAATATTAAAATAAAATCTCAGGGTACTTCAAGTAAATATTTTACGTCAAAGGGGTTTGGATGACAAAAAGTCAGAGTTGATCTAGCCAAATAATTCAGATGCCAACATGGAAATGTTGTGTGACACACAAAATGATGCAAAGTAAAGTAAAATAAAATAAATAATCCAGACTACATTTCACTTGCTGGGAGCAGAAACTTGTGCAGTGTATTACTGGCTGCTGAGAGAAAGAAACCATCTAAACTCAAGAGACATCAAACACTCAAACCATACAGACAAGCTTATGTCACGATAACAAATTTAGCATATTGTTGGGTCTGTGCAGTTCATGGTAATATTAATACATTTGTTCAGTTTTAAGAACAATCTTGCTACTGTGTTGGATCGCAATGTGACATTCAATAAAACATCAAGTTGAGAAAAGCAACACCACTGTGGATTCACTGGTCTAGTTAGTGTACAGTCAGTGTGAAGCAATTCTGCCCTCATGTGGCAATCAAAAATTCAGCCAACCGACTGGACAAAAAACAACAAAAATCCACTTTGAGAGAAGAAACTCTGTACATATGTGCAGTCTAAAAAAAAAAAGGCTGGTAGGAGAGAGCAAGGTAGAAAACAAAATCCTGCAATAACAATGCAATGTTTTCCCTCTGAAGTTAAAAAGCCTCTAGCTCTGGCAGCGAAAGTTGTTTTCTTGAGGGTTTTGCATCTCTTTTCCCTCAAGAGCTGGATCTGAACACTTGAATCGCTTGCGTCTGATTTGCAAATGAACAAAAGAAAGGCAGAAGCAGAGCCATATAATGATTTATTTTTAAAGAGAAGCAGGAAACATTGATTGAACGCTGGTGGCAAAGAAACCAATACCACAGTGGCCGGCCTACTCGTGCTCTGAAATGGATTGCTGGAGTCTTTGACATTCTCTCTTGTCATTTTAGCAAGTGGCTCCGAGTGGACTGTGATTCACCAAGCGCCAAGGCAAAACACACCGAGATTGCAATGGACGGATAATATCAGAAGCTTTGTCTTTTTGCCATATCACTTGCCTGAGGAAACGTGTTATTATTATGCCACTGTCAACAGAGGGCCAGCACACTACAGGTGGCATTACTGTGGCACAACCCAAGAAATTGGAAGTGCACCCACTCTGCCATGAATACGAAACTGTAACTGGAACAAAACGAACTCACAAAACCATAAACGGCACTGCCTGTGGCACTCCATCTTGTGTGGCGGCCGATAAGAAGGTGCATTTTTCCAAGAGATGAGCCGAGTTGAGAATATCCAGGTAAAGACAGTGACTAACAGCCCTGCTTTGCTTCCCACTCTATTGACTGTGAGTAAAGGTGGCCGACGTTGACCTAACGCCACTCCCAATCCGTATTAATCTCCAACAAGAAGCAGGAAGAATCCTGCGTGCACCAGAAATGAGAAACTGCTACACTGCTGAACAGAAATACTTTACAGGGTGCAATCTATCATGTGGAGTAGTCATGACTCATATATGCACACTGCAGCTGAAGATATACAGACCTTTTGCACTTACATAGATACTCGTATTTTGATGCAAATGGAACACATGCAGAGAGAAACTATTCCTCCTCCAAAACATTTAGGTTAGATGAGTTACATTGTACTTTGTAAGTCGTAACATCCTACAACTGCTTTTTGGAAATTAAAGTCCCATTCAACCATTCACATGCCACTGAAGATGTTAGCACTCCAGACTCTAGGTCATAAAAGCTAATATGGTCTGCATTCAGAGTACACGAAAATTGGATTTCATACTATTCAGCTAAACAATCAATCCAAGGTGATCCCTTTTCAAGCTGCCGTAATTCTGCTCGTATAATTCCCTTCGGCACAAGCACACACCTACTAGCCATAGTTTGTTATGTCATCCCTTAAACTGTAGAGGAAATACTGCCTTCAGGGACAGGGATGAAGCATGCAGCTCATCTCTTAAGCACATTTAATGGCTCGTTACCCCACCGCTCGTTTCAGGCAACACGACACTCCTTGGTCAGGTGCCATTCTCTAATGTGCTGGAAATGAGCCATGAGCCTCTAGTCTTTAGACAGTAAGTACGGTGTGCTCAAGAGGCCATTTTGGTTCTGAAAGGAGCGCAGTAGTGCCTTAAACAGGAAAAAAGCCAAAACTGAAACTGTTGCTTTTGCAATTAACAGTGCCCTCTCTAGTGCTGCTAAAATATGTAAGGATAACATAAAATGAATGAATTCTAAATGAAACAGCTTGGGTATGACCTACCGGTCCTAAATGCGTCCAAAAAATGCAGTGCATGCGTGCATAAATTTCTGAGAATTTACTGCATTTCGGCATCTGCCATCCAAGGTTATTTGCCACTGGGATGAAGAGAACAAAAAACTCAAAGAGCATTCCAGAAAAAGTTAAACTTTCAAGATTCCCCCTTTAGTATAGAGGTACAGAAAGGTTTAGACCGAGGTCATTTCAGAAAAACTCATTCTGATGGAGATGGTAATGGTTTAATGGTTTATGGTAATGGTAATGGTAAATAATGGATTTCAGGTACTTTAAGAAGAATTTAATGGCAACAATTTATAGTACAAACAGACAAAAATATAACTTTGAAAATCTGACAAATTCAGGCTTGAAGTTTATAAAATATCTGAACTGTAATAAATATCTATAACATAATGCTTTTGACATCTGTCCTCATGTGTACAAGGAGACAGAAGAACTTATACAGCAGAATCAAGGGGCTGCTGGGCATCACGTGACGTCATCAAAAGAAACAGCCGTTTGGAAAGCTCCGGACCAACTCTGCGGGTTGTAGATGTCACACCCTCTCCGCGGCGAATTAGTATGTCTGCCAGCAGACCGACTTTTTCATGTTCCGATTTGCACCGTGCATATGCCTACAAGTAACAAATATACATTCAAACATGAGATCTTGCAACAAAAAACACTAAAGGTCCTAAATAAAATTATTATTCACAAAATAAAAAATGGTATATGCCAATATGTTGTTAATCTGTCTGCCGATAATAGGCTGGCAAATACTATTTGTATTTGCTGTTAGACACTTCACATTTGAAAACAGCTTTAACCTGAGCAAGAAGCCGAGGAGAGGGGTAGGCACTAAGTATAGCACTGGCCATATCAGGGCTGACGCGGTTCAACTGTTGTATTTGTCTCTTCCAAACTTGCAGAAGGCCGTTCCCTGAGCGGTCCACCTTCTGACCCCCTGCCCACTCACTCTCCAAACAAAACGTGAATCCCGTCTTCTCTCGCTCCCGCCTGGGAAGAATAAACATACACCACCAAGTAAAAAATAAACCACTGTAGCTAAAGATGCAGCTGGTTGGAGAGCGATAAATATGGAAACTGGCTTCCCACTCACTTGAACGGTGCCTCGGCTACTGCTTTGGTTAACATGGTAATATAATCAGTGAAGTCTTTCCAGGTAGAGAGGAAGCGAACCTGCACCCCAGTTTGCAGCTGCAGGTCTACCAAAGCCTGATGGACAGGTGAGGGAAAAAAGACTGAGTTGAAGCAGAGCACCTCAAATAAGACCATGAATTTATATCGACTGCCAATGAGGTGGTTCAGCTTACCTCCTCCACCTGCACTCGCGAGACCTCAGGAAGCTGATTGATATCATCTTTCTTTCTTCTCTTTTTCTGCCCTCCCTGAAGTCCCACATTCTTCTCCTCGCCCAGCACTGCTTCACGGTATTTCTTCTGACATTTTGAATTCTGGCTTCTGGAAAAGAACATTTAATGCAAAATTAAGCAATTATAAACTCTTCACTGATCTGTCATTTAAAATCTAACATACATATGCTAATGTTTTGTTTTATGAGTACTGCTCAATTTATGGATAAATAAATTCATAAACATAAAAATGTAGTATTAAATAACAAGTGTAAAGCTTGTATATTTGTCAAAGCATTTAGATGAAATTTCAAATAAATTGTCAAAAACTAAAACAAAGTCTCTCACCTGAAGTACTTCTCTATGTCAATCACAACCAGACTGAGTGTTCTGCCTGGGTTCCTGCTCATAAGTCCTTGGATCCAGGCAGTCAGACATATCCCACTTTCCGTCAACACACCGTTGCATTGCCTCTACATTAAAAAAAAAGACCCACAGAGCCCAATCAGGAGCGAAATCCCAAGGCTGTCAAAATTCTGAAGAAATGCATTTCTCAAAGATTGAGCAACAGCATATTTTAAAGAGCTTATGGATCATTTTTTACATAATTGAGGGGTGATCCTGTAATTATATTCATTACCCTTAATTGCTCTGACTCTTCTAGGAAAGGTCATAACTGCTAGTTTTTCTGTTGCCCTTTCAGCCACAAAACTCTTTTAATTTAAATTTTAGTTAGCACATCATACAATTATCCTATTAATGGTTAATTAGGTAATTATAATGGCCCAATAGGAAATTACACCATATCAGAACATAATGTGCCTACCTTGCAGTAGTTATTAATCATGGTTACAAAGTCATCCACAGGAACTTGGATTACAGTATTTGAGTCTGGAATGGACATCATCTCACCAGTCTGCAAATAAAACATTCAAATTAACTATAAAAATATGTGTAAAAAGATTTAAATTAGAGGTTCTCAACCTTTTTGACTACAAGTCCCCCTTTTGTCCAAGACAATATTCAAGATATCTCCTATCTAACCTAACACAAAACTCTGGCACATCTGTTGTGATAAAACAAACTGAACACAAAAATAGAATGTCAGATTAATGCGGTACGTCTTTTTTTGTTGTTGTTTAGAATCATATTAAGATTTTAGTGTGTTACTAAAAGTACATTTAAATACTTTTTAAGTCTGTGTGAACTGGAAGTTGCTGCCGACTTTACTTCAGTATGGTGACGTATTTCTAACTGAAACAGAATATTGAATAGAGGGCAAGGGTTTTTTTTGCGCTCCTCCTCTCAAATCTCACTCACAGCAATCTAACTGTTGTAGGGGCGTGGTTAAGCATATTCTGCCCAAGCTGTCAAACTGACGTCACCAGAGAAGGAATGCTATTCCAGAGTGGAAGCAAATGATCAGATTTTGATTAAAGATTACCAAGACAAACATTTTGTTTCAGTGGATTAATTTGCATGGATTAATTCTTCACCGTAAGATTAGCAATGTGCACTAACAAAATAAATATTGTAAATTTTGATTTCACACTGACTTTAAGACTTATTGGGGCCCCCTAAAAGTTTGTTCAAGGCCCCCTAATGGGTCGTGGCCTCCGGGTTGAGAACCACTGGTTAAGATGTTCATAACTTCTACCCAGATATGAGACATCACAGATATTTAAGCATCTTCTTTATCTACAAACATTAGATAAATCTATATAGATCTTATAATATTATATCCATGTATTTGAAATTCAAAATGTCACATATTCATCATCTGTATCCGTGACATTCAACAGAAATCCCTTGGGTGACATACTGCAAAACAAACAGCGATACTCTGGCAATTACATCACCCAAAAAAAAATGAACATAAGTAATTGGACATTTAATGATTCATGCTCATTTCCTGTATTGTAACATTTACTGGTAGATGACCTTTGCCATCATGTAACCTCACTCTAAAACATTAATAATAACACTCTTAGATGTAATCTTTAGCCAATCTCATTATGAATAACCACTTTCTGTACTGTACGCTATTATGTTGTGATGCCTAAATTAAAAAGCATTTATTGACTGATATTAGTGTTATCATAGTGTTTTATTATTATTTATAATAATAATCATTTTATAATACTACGTTTTTTAAAAAATACAATTTGTCCAAAATGTCCAGCCATAACAGGAAAATAATTAATTTACTGAATTAATTTAATTAATTTTCTTTATCCCCATCTGCATCTCAAAGCAAATGACAAGGAACTAGGGCTGGGAAAATAAATCGAATGACAAGCTACACAAAATCGCAGGCGATTTATTGCCGATTTTGAACGCGATTTTGTGTAGCTTGTCAGTGAACTACGGCTCTGTGTAGTAAATGCCGCTCCATCTGAAACCACGTGCTGGAGATTTACTACTAATCACCAGAAGCGGCTTTACTGACGATATGCGTGTGAAAATCGCATTCGATTTTTTGCACAGCCCTACTTGAACCTAAAATAATCATTCATAAAATTCGAAAAGGTTGAAACGAATTACAAAGGTGTTCACAGTGGGCTGTGTTTACATTAATCTCGCGGCATAAAAGCATTCTGAGCTGAGGTGAAATTACTTGACTCAGCCGAATGCACAAGCGCTCTTTATCACTCTTCTTCATGAGCATTTGAGTGTGCGGATAAAAACTAGATTAGAGCGCCATCTGCTATTAAAATCTAAGCTCAGAATCGATTCCAGAGGAATCGCGATGCATTCTGAAAATCTAAGAATCGATCCACGAATCGATTCTGCATCGATTTATCGTCCCAGTGTGACAAGGAACATGGTTAAAATGTTTTCTTTTCTGCATTTGTATGTGTCGTGCTGTCGTGCCTGAGGGCAGGGTGAGCGTCTAGCCCAGGTGACACTACGAGGAAGAGACTGCTTCTCTATGGCACAGTTGCAGCCCATGGCATGCAGGGAAGTCAGGAGAGCGCCGCCACCTTCCAGCTGCAGTAGGCCTATGGGGGAGAGACAGACAATCAATACTAATTCATTCAGCAAATGCAGCTTAATACCTCATGCCAGTGCTTTATAACAACTCGGAAAAAATATCAAAGCACACAGAGCCCTGAAAGCAACTGGGACAGCAAAGATGAGCACTGCAGGCACACACTGCCACCTACCTGGGTCGACCGTCACCACCATGTGTTTGATGCACTCCTCTGGCCTTAGGGCTTTCACAGCATCAGCCAGAGCTTTCTTCTCCATCCTCAATCTC